CATCCGGCAGTGGCTCAGTCAGTAGGGGCTTGGACTGTGAGCCGTAGGGTCGCGGTTTAGGGTTAGGGTTAGGGTTAGATTTGTGGAATCAGCTTCCAGTTTGTGTTTGGACGGCAGACACCCTATCCGTTTTTAAGAGTGCGCTTAAGACCTTCCTTTTTGATAAAGCTTATAGTTAGGGCTGATTAGATTCAGCCCCTAGTTTTGCTGATATAGGCTTAGTTTGTCGGGGGACATCTTACTTCTTCCTTCTCTCTGTCTATACCTGTGTACTCTCATGTTCCGATTAACCCAGCTTCCCCAAATTTCTTTCTTTTTGGTGTCTATATACGCCGGGATCCGGAGTCATGGATGATCCTGCGGTCCTGTGTCATGGATCGCGAGTCCTGGATCTTGAGTCGTGGCTGTGCCTGTTGCTGTGGTCCTGGATGATAAGTCCTGGATGGATATCCTCATGGATTCATCTTCCTATTATACACACATGCATTTCCAAACATTTGTTCTACCTATGTTGCAAATGTATTATCTTTTCAATTTACACACGGGATCTATTGCACGTCTGTCCGTCCTGGGAGAGGGATCCTTCCTCTGTTGCTCTCCCTGAGGTTTCTCCCATTTTTCCCTTTAAACTGTGGGTTTTCTCCGGAAGTTTTTCCTTGTACGATGTGAGGGTCTAAGGACAGAGGGTGTCGTATTGTCATACTGATATTCTGTACAAACTGTGAAGTCCAATGAGACAAATGTAACATTTGTGATATTGGGCTATATAAATAACCATTGATTGATTGATTGATTGAGATCCATGCGACAGTTCCAAAGCATATCCCCCCACCCCCCAGGCTCCCCTAGTGGATTAACCCAGCCCTGCCACGGTTGTTTTTCTAGGAAACGTTCAGGCGCTCTGCAGGCTCCGACTAGTTTTCCTCGTTGTTTCTTAGAGAGGAAACCAACGAGTAGTTGAGAAATTTGCATGACTGACATTTTCAAGCTGCACCCGCTTTTTTTTTCCATAAGCAGTTCATACAAGTTTCACACAAACATCACTGAACATCTCCACACCCACGAGAGGAGCGGCTGCAGACGAACCCTCCAAACAAGAGTACTGCAAATTCCAATAAACTCTCTGTAGGATGGAACATCCCTTTACTTTTAGACTTGTATATATGAAAATATATGTAAAACACTGGGAAAATTGAATATATATTATACAGGAAGTATATGACTATAATCAACCCATCCTGTATACTGCTCATTGAGTTTATAGATATTTAAAATACAGTCTTCTACTGACAGTAACCCATACAGTCAGAGTGCATTAATATATCAGTCCAATACAGCGCTCTGATTAACAGACTGCAGTGAAGGCCACATGATCTAGATTGCTTATCTATGTGCAAATTAAACTGCTAGATACACTGCTGAAGTGTTTGTTTTCTTGATAACTGCTTTAGATTGTTATTCAAGCAGATTATGGGAAACAAAACACAACATTTTTAAATAGCGATAACCACATATCCTACAGTAAACCACTGAGGGGGGGGGTCTTACCTTGTTGATCATGTTTAGGGTGCACTCGAAGACGGCATCAAAGATCTGTGGGATCTCACTGGTGATGTGTCCGCCCAGCTTGTTTACAATGGTTGCCATGGTGCTGAGGACCTCGGGCTCCCGGGCAGCGGGGACGTTGCGTTGGTAATCGATGAGGACGGCGTCCAGCAGCGGAGGAACAAAGTTCTCGCCGACCTGCAGAACAACAGGAAGGATCAGCAGGGAGAACAAAAAAGGAGCGCCCACTCCACTCACATTTAAGTGAGACTTTTTAAAGGCTCAGTTCTGACAAGCAAGGTGCAAATATCATTTTTGCATGTCTATTAACTCTGATTCAAGATGAATATGCAGATAAAAGCAGAGCCGAGGGCACAGAGTGTGCCACATAAAATCTTTGTGTTTGATCTAAAAATACCAACTGGATTAGTTCTACTGTCAACCGTTTCATTGATTGCCACAGAGTGTAGTGTCTCCCGAGGACACCGGGGTAAAAACCCAAAATAGGGCTTTTTGTTCCTCAGGATAGATAAACTTCAGGTGATGTGCCTCCACGTCTCTCACCATCTGGGGGTCGTTTGATCGGCTGACCCAGCCTGAGATCAGTTTCAGAGTCTCCCGCTTCACTGTCCTCATGCTCCGGATCAAGGGCTGCTTCGTCACCATCTCACCTGCAACACACACAGGACACACATATTGAATGCACACACACTTTGTCTTATCATTTTGTTGCGAGGAAGTAAGTATAGGTTCTGCAACATTTACAGGCCTGTGCTTCAGATAAATGCTCATTGGTTGATCAGTGAAAATGTTTGCGTACCATTGTTTCTTCTGCTATATATAAACTGTAACGACATTGAGGCTATTGTAAAGAATGTTACAAATCTCAAATCTGCTCTAGTTGGCTCTATGGAAAAAAACAAATATCACATTTTTGATATCTCCTATTTAATATTGTAGTGTTGACCATTTCACACAATTGTAACACTATAAGACTTTTCATGACAAGAACAGTCTGGTAAGTTTAGAAAATTGCCACATGACAGTCTTTAAAATCATGATATCACAAAATATCCAAATATACATCTAGTCTAATTATCACATTATTGATATAACACCCAGTCGTACCAAACGGTAATATTAGACTTACAGTATTTTTGCATCAATTTTGATTTTTTCTTGATTTTTTAACTGGTATATAATTCACTGAATGATCTCAAAATAGACAACAGCCCTATCATGAACTTAAGGTATCACATTAGAAAAACTGTTTGTGGATTAATGATGTTTTATGAGGTGTGGGGATCACAATCAAACTACTTGTTTGGCTTTCTTTTGGAAAGCCCTCTGCACGGCACTGTACTTCTATAAATGTCATACCCTGTCTTCCTCTGGAAAAAGGTTGATCAAAGACAAGCTGACTTACATGTTAAACTCTAAAATATTTAGTTAAGCATGTCCTGCCCAGATCACCATTTGTATCCCTACTCTGAATAAGCAGCGAATGCAAGTGCAGAAATCCTTGATCATTACCGACAGACCTCACACTCTTTCATTCAGACACAGAAAGACTCAGAGATTAGTCACCAGAACAGGCGCATGCAAGAAGACAAAAAGCAGACAGGCTAACAAACAAGATGCCAATAATAAATGACAAAATACTAAAATGCTACTGCATGAAAAAATAACAAAGTAAAAGGGAAAAATAAAACAAATATGTTGCAGCTGAAGCACCAATAAAAAAAGCTCAAAATAATAGATTGTGTTCGTGAGTGTGATCTTTCATTTCGATGGTAATGAAAGCATGTGACAAAAAAACTTAGATACTAACCAAGCACTTAAATACTAACCAAGCACTAGTATACTAACTAAGCACTTAGATACTAACTAAGCACTTGTATACTAACTAAGCACTTGTATACCAACTAAGCACTTAGATACTAACTAAGCACTTAGATACTAACCAAGCACTTGTATACTAACTAAGCACTTAGATAATAACTAAGCACTTAGATACTACTAAGCACTTACATACTAACTAAGCACTTATGGCGCGTTTCCACTGTAGCGCGGAGCTCGCTTTAAGCGTGCCGAGCCGTGCGGGGCCCGTTTTTGGTTGCGCTTCCACTTGGCCTAGTTTTGGCCTGGGGCTACTTTTTCACCTTTTTTCTGGCCAGACTAAATCCTGGTTCTATCGAGGCCAACAAACAGGGCTGAGTCGGGATGAGTTTGCTAAACTAGAGAGAGAATCGCAGTCAAGGGGGCTACAACTACAACAAGATGAACATATTTGACAGTGATTTAATTGTAATACACGTTTCAAAATGATGCCGAAGTAAAGACATACTGATACCGGTTAGTAAAAACCATGAATTAATGCTTTGACAAGTCTGCAGACAGACGGCAGGCGAAAAACCTTTTAAAATGCGTGATCTTCTTATTATAGACCAGTGATGCAAACACAGGTATGGTGAAAAAAGAGAGAACTATTCGAAGCAGCAAGAAACAGCATAATATACCATCTGACAAAGGCCTGTGCTATAATGCTTCAATTAACTGGCTATTCTTTATAATATACTCAGATCAATAGGAGACAGAGATGTTAAGTTATAAATCAAGGGTTTTTATTATTATTTACAGCAGGGGCGGGGAACCTTTTTCCTTTCAATTTTTACAACATCCTCCGAGGTCCCTACAAATTATTGAACTCAACCTCTGCTTAAAAAAAC